CATTTAAGCGTTTCGCCACAGATACGGCCACACCGCGCATCTGCCAGCCAACAAGGCACATTCTTCAACATTTGTTTTCCACACAAACACATCTTTTCGGTTAAATAAGGGCATTTTGGACAGTCCTCTTCATCCGTATGACAGTTGTGTGGCGTTTGGGGATGTCCGCATGATTTTGGGCGTTCGCACGGGGAAGAGCATGGCGGCGGCTGGGTCCCACAAGGTAAGGGCGGATACAAAACAGATCGACCGCAATTACACGAGATCTCCTCAAAGATGGCTTCTCTACAAGTGTTGCAGGGTCCTTTATGACAGAGCTCAGGGCATGTATGCCGCCCGCATTTCAGCATACGGCCACACACTCGAGTGCAGATATGTTCGGCCTCCACATCTTCATCACTTGGGCGAAGATGAGACTTGAGCTTCCGCCGCAGAGCCTGACGTTCAACCGCCTTCTGTTCGCCGGGACAACACCGCTCAGCACAAGCATGGCGACCACAATGCAAGCCAGCCTTGCAGACGCGGAAACACTGAGGGTGCTCAAGAGTACCTTGGTGGCAAATGGACATAAAAGAGTTTCGTCCGCAACGGCACGGCACGGGCACTCTGCGCAAACAAGGCCCACATGAACCGGTGTGGCAGACCTTGTCGCATGAGTGTCCACATGGCAGAATCTTTCCACACGCCTCCAGACAGTTGGGAATCGGGTCCTCACAAGAGTTTCGGGGGGTATATCCGGGAATCTCGGTCAATGGTGTTTTACCACAAGGGCAATGAAGCACGACGTCTGGTGACCTTGGACAGTGGGCGGGGTGTATATCCTGTGGATGACAGCGCTGCTGGCAGAAGTGAACGCCACAATCGAAGGGGCGATTGCATTGGTCTCCGCAATCAAAACAACCAGTCCACTCCTCAACGTGACTCTTCTCACCGTCCTCATCGCGCAGCATTTGGCTGTCCATTTCCTCATCTTTGGAACTGCACAGCATTTCCGTCTGTACCTTTCCACAGTAGCAGCGAGCCTCTATCCTCTCCTCACAATCACCACAGAGACCCTCGTGGCAGGGTCGAGGGCAAGTATGCTCGCCGCACGGCAGAAGATCCCCACAGATTTCCCCGCAGCTCCATCCATTTTCATAATCGGTATCCTGGCAACGCTTGGTGGACGAATTCCTGCCGCAAAAACAATCTTGAGTAGGGCCCATAGCTGTACATGGCGCGCAGGGTCCAGCATGACAGGTCGTATCGCACGGGTGCGGACAGCCTTTCCGCTGCCGTGCACAGGTCTGTCCGCATGAATGAGGTGGAAGGCCGGGAAGCGACCGCGGGTCAACTTCTTTCTCACACCAGCAAGTGTAATTTGATGGGAATACTTCTTGGGGAAGGTTACAGCCAGGACAGCGCCAGGCTCGGGGGGTAGTGGGGTCTCCTTCTCCCTGGCGACGAGCAGCGTCCTGCGCAGCAGCACCTTCGTTCTTCGACCATTTCTTGACACAACTCAAATGGAATACCGTCCAACATAACCCACAGTTCCAGACACGCGATCTCCTCCCCAGCTCTGCGGTACAAATAGGACACTCATAAAGGTTGTGAGCAATATCCTCGTGAATGCGAGTGGCGATGTCGGGCGCTACTGATTTTGTCGTAACTTTGGGCGGCGGAGGCGGGGCATTCTTAGCTTTAGGCTTCTTCTTTGCGGGTGCAGTAGTCGAGGGAGTTGCCTTGTTCGCGACATGTTCTGGCTGGGTTCCTGGCACAAATGCAGGCGCGTCGGCCCTCAATCCTAGATCATTCGTATCCACTGCTGCATCAATCTGTTCGTCCTCCGGAGCCTGCTCTGCTTTCGTTAAGCGCCCCTCGAACTGTCTGCCCGTACTGGTTGTCCCTCGATCTCCGCCTCGTTGTCTCTGTCGATGACTGCTGCCCTCCGAGGGTGCGCCGCCACCCCGACCTCCCCCTCTTCCCCTCCGTGGTCCTCTGCGAGAGCGTGGTGCATCAGCGGGAGGGTCTGGCGGTGGAATCTGGGTAGATTGGATTTGTGACGGCGGCTGAGTTGGCGGTTGTGCATCATGAGAGCGTTCTGTAGTTTGCGTCTGAGGCCGTCGATGACTGCGATTGCCACGACCTCGGCCTCCACGTCTCGATGGCCTCGGGCGAGATGCGCTTCCCTCTGCAACGGGTGCAGGCGCGTCGGACATAGTCTCGGTGATCGATAGCCGGTTACAAATTTCGTCCCGCCCGCTCATGCACGATAAAGAACTAACTGCAATTGGTAGGTGCGATATGACAGATGGTCGAGGAGACTCCCTCTAGTGACCCGAGAGGAGGTGTGTCTGAGGATAACAAAGGAAATGAAACAGGGCCTGTTCCCCCGGAGGCGACGAGGATTAAATCAAAAGAGAAGGCGATCGAAAGATCGACGGGGCAATTGTTCCTTAGAATTTCAGAATTGAGTGGCGGAAGCTCCGTTGCGGCTCTAGCCGTTTGGCTCCTAAGCCTCCAATCATATGCAGTAGAAGATGGACAGTCTTCATGAGTCTTCATGAGTCATGTGGCCAGGCCGCCTGAGTCATACTTTTAGTAGGGTTGGATTTACCTACTCACTTGAATTAAACGAGACCTTTGATTCTTAATGATATTCAGATCATTCTAGTGTTGATATTACTATATAATTCAAAAAATACATAGATATCTATCGGATTTATTAAGAAGGAAATTTAATGTATTAGATTTATGCCCATTATATATTATATTCTGCATCTGTGGATAGAGATATATACTGCATCTTGCAGAACATTTAGAAAATCAGGACCTCAGACACTCTAGCTATTTTTAGACCTGGTTATAAATAATTTACACACTTAAGATATATACAAATCTATCTAAATATAAATATAGATATATCCACATATAGAAAAGTGATGTAATGGTGCTTGTAAATCTATTGTAAAGATAAATGACAATACAGGGGGTTCAACCTGCCAACCTGCCGACTAGGCCTAATTAGATAAAGCGGTAACTGATTAAGCAGGACCATACCTGCTTGGGCCTAAGTTACAGATATCCGTGGATCCTCCATTTTGAACTGGAATATGCCACACGCTCAGTTTCAAGTGTGAGCGGCCATCAACGCGTAAATCTCTTGCGCGGCTTTTGGTATCTTGCCCTTTTCGCCACCCTCCTCGATATCGATCATCTCCTTTGCAAAGTCGCAAAGCGTCGCCACCAGATAATCCACCTCTTGCTCCGTATTTCCAGCATGGATCATGACCCTGACTCGTGATTTGCCTTTGGGAACCTGGGGATAGTCAATGGGAACGACCGCAATTTTCGCCAGTTGCAGGTGGAAAAAGAGCCACCAGTTGTACTTCTGCCGGGTCCAGATTGGCACAATATGCGTCACAAAGTCCAGCTCCTCATAGTCCTCGGCCACGGGGATAGACAAGATACCCATATCGGTGGCTTCGTCCCAGATGTCGCTGGAGGTGATGGACTTGAAGAAGTACTTGACGAGATGTTGTATGTTGTCTTGAGCCTATGGTTTGTGTTATTGTCAATTCTTCAGACCCTTCAGCGGATCGTTGCATACCTTCTGCGTGGCACCAGTCCTCATCAGGTTATAGGCTGAGCGAATGACTGCAACCGACGGGAAGGATGGGGATGTGGTGTTCACCAGGGACCCAGCATAGTTCAGCATCATGTTTCGGACCGTGGCATTTCCAAGAACCACAGCTTTCAAAATAATGCGTCAGTTATACCGCTTGAGCAAGGGGCTACAGCCAGGTCTATTGAACTTACATCCAGTACAGGCCAAGGCCTTGCCGCAGGTATTCAGTCGAATTGCAACCTCATTTTCTAGACCCAGATGCTTGACGAGACCGACACCTTTAGGACCCACGACTCCAGTGGCATGAGCCTCGTCCGCAATGAAAGCAAAGTTCCCCTTGGGACAGATTTCTCGAGCAATCTCGAGCATCTCCACCAGAGGGCAAACGTCTCCATCCATGCTGTACACCGACTCTACGGACACAAGGATCGAGCGTGAACCGTCCTGAAGCATAGGTTGAGAGTCCATGGTGGAGGACATGGCCTCTCGAAAGGCGTCAAGGTCATTGTGGCGGAAGGCAACCTTGGTCGTAGCCAATGAGGCAGCCATGCCTGTGTGCGTGCTGAAGTGAACTAGCTCATCGTATACAATGGCATCCCCAGGCCGTGGGATAGCTGTGTAGATGGCAATGTTTCCGTTCGACCCGGAGTTAAACATGAGAGCCGTTTCTGCCCCGAGGAAGTCGGCGATCTCCTGCTCGACATCCTCGATATAGTCGTAGTTGCCACCCATAACGCGGGAGCCCCCAGAATGCAGCGAGAAGTCTGGGTGTCTGGCCAGCTCAGCTAGGAACTCTCTTCGCAGTTCTCCTGTGAGTCCGAGAGAGAGAAGATCATTGGAGCAGAAGTCAATCGCATCTCCAGTTTTCCATGTGCTTTGTCCGCGGGTCATTAGAGATTGGGTTGACCGTCGAACATCTAAGGCCTCCTCGAGATTTCGGTAGAATGTGGGGGCATCTTTCATGCGGGGAGCGACCAGTTTCTGGCTCTTGATCCAGGAGACCATCTCCGAGACGACTTTGCCGTTAGATCCCATGGTGATGAGGTTGCGGAAGATGAAGGCTTCGACGGCCAGCGTAGTGTAACCCAGCAAAGAAAGAAAGAACGAAAGAACGAAAGCTCAAGAGTACATCGAGTCGATATCCTGAGTCGTCATTTCATAGTCCCATTTAAAGATCATCTAGATCCCGATCGGCGAACCGGCCCGAGATGCTGCGGCTCGTCGCCAGAACGGGTTCCGGCCTGCGAGCGGACGGGAAACCGAGCACATGGCAAATGCATGAAACGTGGTTGACCATAACTATGTTAACTGTCATTTAAAACTCAAATGTAGAGATGGCCCACCAGGTTACAGCGAAACAACCAAGTTTTATTTCGAATCCACATCACTGACTATGGGCGACAGTAATGGCATCAATGGCCAGGGGTTAACGGTCATGAATGGGGCTACTACTCCCAGCGGGCATCCCACCAATGGGGTACACACGAATGGGGTACACACGAACGGGGTGCACACAAACGGCACAAATGGTATTTCGGCCCATAGGGTCCATGGCAGTGGTCATGTTCCCATCGCCATCTGTGGTATGGCCTGTCGTCTCCCAGGAGGATTGACGACGCCCGACGAGCTTTGGGATTTCCTCCTCGCAAAGAAAGATGGTCGTTGTCGCGTTCCTGAATCCCGCTACAACATCGACTCATATTACTCGGATACAAAAAAGCCAGGGACAGTCTCAACCGAGTATGGATATTTCCTCGACGAGAGTGTCGACGTCGGGGCGTTGGATACATCCTTCTTCAGCATGACGCGAACAGAGGTAGAGCGAGCTGACCCTCAGCAGAGGCTCATGTTGGAGGTCGCACGCGAGGCCTTCGAAGATGCCGGCGTGACGAATTGGAGAGGCAAGACTATAGGCACGTATATTGGTAATTTCGGAGAAGACTGGCTGGAGATGTTTGGGAAGGAGACTCAGCCATGGGGGATACATCGTATATCCGGTTCGGGAGACTTTGTTGTCGCCAATCGGCTCTCGTATGAGTTTGACCTGCAAGGGCCAAGGTATGATCTTTCATTCGACAGTTGTTTCCAAATAACAGCCCTGTGTTGACACTACTGAATAGCATGACGATCCGCACGGCCTGTTCATCCGCCCTGGTAGCTCTGAATGAGGCCTGCACTGCCATTAGCAGAGGTGACTGCGAATCCGCCTTGGTGGGTGGTGTTAATTTAATTCTTGCACCAGGAATGTCGATGGCGATGCAGGAGCAAGGAGTTTTATCCAGTGACGGCTCGTGCAAGACCTTCTCGGCTGACGCCAATGGGTATGCCCGTGGAGAGGCGGTTACGGCGATCTTCATCAAGCCGTTGGCGGATGCGTTGAGAGATGGCAACCCAATTCGTGCTGTCGTGAGAGCCACATCCCACAATGCAGACGGAAAGACCGCTACACTGTCACAGCCCAGCACGGACGCACAGGAAGCTCTGATGAGGAGGGCATATGAACTCGGAGGTATTACTGACTACGCGGAAACCGCCATGGTTGAATGCCACGGGACAGGTACGCCGACTGGGGACCCCATCGAGGCCAGAGCTGTGGCCCGGGTCTTTGGGGACAAGGGCGTCTACATAGGCTCGGTCAAGCCCAACCTTGGACACACAGAAGCTGCGTCCGGTCTTGTATCTCTATTGAAGATGGTGAAAGCACTCGAGCATCGCATCATCCCGCCAAACATCAAATTCACAAGCCCCAATCCAAACATTCCGTTCGCGGACAGTAAGCTCACAGTTCCTACCGAGCCACTGCCTTGGCCGAAGGACAGACTCGAACGTGTAAGTGTCAATTCATTTGGGATTGGTGGCGCAAATGCCCATGTCATCCTGGAATCTGCTGCTACCTATAACGTCCCGGCTGCTGCTCACGAAACCCCGGAGACACCACACCTTCTGTTGTTCACGGCCAACTCGCCAAAGTCAATCACAAGGATGATTGACAACTACAAGGGATGGGTGGAACAAAATCCGGACAAGGTCAGCGACCTGGCCTACACGTTGGCAAGGAGAAGGGAGCACTTGCCCCATCGAGCTTTTGCTATTGTCACTAATGGAGTGGTTGAAAGTGTTTCACAGTCTGTAAACTCCAAGTCTGCGAAACCGCCGAGCGTGGTTATGGTCTTCACTGGTCAGGGCGCACAGTGGCCCCAGATGGGACGGGAGCTGTTGCGGTCGAATCAAGTATTCAGGTCTAGCATCCGCTCTCTCGATCAGCACCTGCAGACCATGACTGGGGATAAGCCCGAGTACTCGATCGAAGCAGAGCTCAAAAAGCCAGGCAAAAAGAGCCGACTGTCATTGGCCGAGTTCTCCCAACCCCTTTGCACTGCTATTCAGATTGCACTGGTCGACACTCTCAAGTCCGCAGGAATTCGTCCAGACGCAGTCGTGGGCCATTCCAGTGGCGAAATTGCTGCAGCATACGCCGCAGGGGCTCTCACGGCTGCAGAGGCCATCACCGCTGCCCACCACCGTGGAGCGGTGACAAGTAGACAGAAGAGAGAAGGGACAATGGCAGCTATCGGAATGAGTTGGGCGGAGACAGAAAAGTACCTCGTCCCGAACGTCACGATTGCCTGTGACAACTCACCCAAGAGCGTTACAATCTCAGGCGACGTCGAGGCTGTCAAATCTGTTGTTGCTGCTATCAAAGAGGCACAGCCACAAACGCTGGCCAGACAGCTCCAGGTCGACAAAGCCTATCATTCATTCCATATGAAAGAGATCGGCGAGGATTACCTATCCTTGATCGGCGAGGAAGTGGTCGGAAGACAACCATCGGCGCTTTTCTTCTCCAGCGTGACCGGAAATATCTTGGGCCCCGAGGACAAAATCCGTTCAAAATACTGGCGGGACAATTTGGAATCGCCGGTCCGGTTCTGCGAGGCCGCCACGGCCATTTTGAAACATGACGTGGGAAAGAATGCAGTCTTCCTTGAGGTCGGGCCTCATGGTGCTCTCGCAGGTCCACTGAGACAAATATTCACTCACGCCTCTTCTCCAGCTCCCTATGTCTCGGTCATGGCGCGCAACCAGGATTGCACCGCAACCTTTTTGTCTGCCATTGGAGCCCTTCACTCACTTAACGTTAATGTTAACCTTGAGGCCCTCTTTCCCACCGGTTCCTGTCTTTCGGACCTTCCCCGATACCCATGGAACCATGAAGGGAGCTACTGGTACGAATCTCGTATCAGCAAGGAATGGCGCAACCGCAAATTCCAATACCACGATCTTCTTGGTGCTAGGGTGGCTGAGAGCAGTGACAGTGAGCCTGTCTGGCGTAACATGTTCCATGTTACAAACACGCCGTGGATTCGTGACCACAAGGTCGGGGAGAACATCGTCTTCCCGTTCTGTGGTTACATTGCCCTGGCGGGTGAGGCCATCAGACAATTGACTAATATTGAAGAGGGATTCAGCGTTCGAAATATCATTGTCACCACGGCGCTGGTGCTCAACGAGGGAAAGCCGACAGAGATGATGGCCAGCTTCAGGCCGCACCGCCTGACGAACTCTTTGAATAGTGCATGGTGGGAGTTCACCGTCTCAGCTTACAACGGGCGCAATTGGACGAAGCACTGTACAGGGGAGGTCTGCGCGCAAGCGTCGGCGCCGGGACAGGCCCCGGATCCTGCAGCCCTTCCCCGGAAGCTCAATGTCAGGAAATGGTATGAAAAGATGGGCAAAGGTGGCCTCAACCTGGGAGGATCATTCCAGACACTCGAGACAATGACGACCTCAACTTCAGAACAGAGGGCTGTTGGTAATGTTGGCAATGGAAGGCAGGGAGATAAAGCCAACTACTACATCCACCCCACCGCCCTTGATGCGACCCTGCAGATCCTGGGTGCCGCTGCAGTCAAGGGCTACGGACGCAAAACCAAAACCTGGCTCCCTACCAGCATCGATAGAGTCACCGTCTATAGGTGCTCCTCGGATATGATCACCAGCGTTTCTGCTAAGTTGTCGAGCAACTTTTCGGTCGTTGGAGACGGCGTTTGCACATCTGGAGGCACGAGAGTCGTTGAAGCCGTTGGTATTCGAATGTCACTTGCGGATGGTGCTGGTGCAACGGACGTTGCGGACACACACGCCGCGTCGAGGTGTGAGTGGAGACCCGATATTGACTTCCTAGATGTCCATGACCTCTTCCGCGCACCAGCAAGCCGAACAGACCACTTGCGTCTCCTGGAGGAGCTCGGGGACATCTACTTGCTCTTGTCCCAATCCCGTCTTTTAGAATCGACAAGTAATCCAATTCTGCCCCATCTGCAGAAGTACATAGCTTGGATCGGGTCTCAATCCAGATCAATTCCTTTCAGATTACCTTCGACCTGGACAGGCCTCGACAACGAGGCTATTTCCGCTCGGATTGACAATATAATGAGTCAGCTAGCAAACACTACAGCAGCCCCAGTCGCCAGTGCCATGCGTGAAGTCTGCCTACAGATGGATTCCCTCTTGTCCGGCGAAATCCTAGAGAGTGTCTTCCCAGAGGGAGCTTTAACGCACGTCCATGAATTTGTTGGACAGCTGGACCGAAGGGAATTCATTCAAAAGTTGAGCCACTCCAAGCCCAACCTCCGAATCCTAGAGATTGGAACCGGAAACGGCGTGTCGTTGCACCGTGACATCGTCGCCGAATTGACACGCACCGACGGTGAGATTCTCTGTGCCAAGTACACTTTGACTGCCCCAGGCTACGTGGTGGCTACAACGCAAGAGAAGCTATTCCCAAATATGGAGTTCGCCAGCCTGGACATCACTCAGGATCCGTTCGAACAAGGATTTGAGGACGCTGGGTACGATCTAATTATAGCCGTCAACGCTCTTCACGAGACCAAAAATGTCCAGGAAAGCTTGACCAACATCAGGAAGCTCCTCCATTCCGATGGGAGATTGCTTCTGCAAGAGCTCTGCCCGTCATCCAGATGGGTCCAGTATCTGCTCGGTGTGCTTCCGACCTCCTGGTCGGGCTCTGCCGACGGGCCAATCGAGGCGGCCTACCTGCGCCAAGACGAGTGGGAGTCGAAGCTTTCTGCTGCAGGCTTTGGCGATATCGAGGCTGTGGCTCTCGATTCAGAAGAGCCTCACCAACTTACTGTCACTAGGGTTGTAAGGCAGGTCCGCGAGACGCCCATAAAGAAGGTCACAGTTCTTTTCGAGGAGGAAGTGCCTGCTGTCACAAACATCCTGAGCCAGCTCGAAAAAGGGGGCTATCAGGTCACCAGGTGCAGATTAGAAGATGATCCGCCGGCTGGACAAGATGTGATTTCGCTGTTAGATATTGAGAAGCCCTTTTTCCACGAGATCGATGAAGCACGCTACCTGTCATTCAAGGCCTTCCTTCTCGGCCTTCAAGAACGCGACGCCGGCATGCTCTGGGCGACTCATCTCATCGACATAGGATGCTGTGATCCACGGTATGCACAAGTTCTCGGTCTCGCCAGAACTATCCGTACGGAGCAGCTGGCCGATTTGGCGACTTGTCAGGTCGACAGTTTTGAGAACCTGAAGTCCATCGACCAACTGCTCCAGGTGCTTTCCAAGTTCCAGGCTCGCCAAGATGACCCTAATGAGGAACTCAACCCCGACTACGAATGGGCCATCTTCAATGACCGGGTTCAAGTCGCACGCTTCCACCCATTCATCCTGGCCGATGAGCTCTTGGCTTCAGAAGAGTCGAGCGAGATAGCCACACTGAACGTTCGTACGCCAGGGCGGGTCAACAGTCTACACTATGCGCGCCAAGAACGAAAGGATCTCGAAAAGGACGAAGTGGAGGTCGAAGTGTACTCCGCCGGTCTGAACTTTAGGGCAAGTCAATCCAGGTCCTTTTCCCCGGCTACGTAGCATGTTACTGACAGGAGATCTTAGGATATTCTGGTTGCACTGGGCATTGTTGAACTGCCGGTCCGTCTCTTCGGAATCGAAGCTGCGGGCATCGTCACGCGTGTGGGAGCAGATGTCAGCCCCGACGACCTTCAGGTTGGCGATCGGGTCGTTTGCTTTTGCAGAAAAGACGCCTTTTCGACATATACGACGACGTTGGCTGCTGTCTGCGTGCGTATCCCTGACAGCCTAACCTTCGATCAAGCTGGAACGATGCTTATCCCATATTTCACCGCGATTCACTCCATGGTCAACGTCGGACGCGTCACAAAAGGCCAGGTAAGTGGCACAGAAGACCCGATGTTATTGTGTAGCGTGTAGCTGTATATACTGATCAATCCCCCCTGCATAGTCCGTCTTAATCCACAGCGCGTGTGGTGGAGTGGGCCTGGCAGCTATCCAGGTGGCCCAAATGCTGGAGGCCGAAGTGTATGTCACGGTTGGCAGCGACGAAAAGGTCAAGTACTTGATGGAGAACTACAACATCCCGCGAAGCAGGATCTTCCAGTCTCGCGACAGGTCATTTGTGGATGGTGTCATGCGAGAAACGGACGGCCGTGGCATGGACTTCATCCTCAACTCCCTCTCCGGCGAGCTCTTGCACGCCACCTGGAGCTGCGTGGCTGAGTTTGGTACTCTACTCGAGATCGGAAAACGAGATCTGATCGGGGATGGCAAGCTCGACATGAAGCCATTCCTGGCAAACCGCAATTATTGCTGTGTCGATATTGATGGACTCTGGAAGAGAATCCATGTCGCCAGAGCCTTGATTTTCTCCATCTTGGATTTCTACAGCAAAGGCTATATATCCCCGCTACCCACGACAATCTTTCCCGCAACCCAGACTCAAGATGCATTCCGATTTATGGAGAAGGGACAACACATCGGCCGTGTTGGGGTTTCGTTCAAGGCAGCCCAAGGGGAAACCCAGCTTGGATTGGAAACCACCAAGAGAGCTATGACGATTTCATTCAACGGGTCGGGCTCTTACCTCATGGTTGGTGGCCTTGGCGGTATTGGTCGTGCTGTATCTACCTGGATGGTCGATCACGGTGCCCGTGAGCTCGTCTACATGTCCCGTAGCGCGGGCCTCACGCCCAAAGATGATGATTTTGTGGCTGAGCTCCAGAGCATGGGCTGTGCCGTCAAGCTTGTGAGCGGAGATACCACGAAATTGGAGGATGTCAAGAAGGCCATTGGTGCAGCGACCTATCCCCTCAAAGGTATTGTACAGATGTCAATGGTCGTCGCCAACGAGAACTTTACTAGGATGACCTTCGACGACTGGATGGCGTCGACGGCACCCAAAGTTCAGGGAACCTGGAACCTCCACAATGCCTCTATGGAGTCGGGGATCGATCTTGATTTCTTTGTGATGTTCAGCTCGGTCTCAGGTATCGTTGGACAAGCTGGTCAAGCCAATTACGCCAGTGGAAACAGCTTCCTAGACGCGTTTGCCCAATACCGTAACGGGCTGGGCCTGGCGGCCTCTGTAGTTGATATGGGAGCTGTCGAGGACGTTGGATGGATTTCAGAGCACCAAGGAATGATGGGGAAAATGTCCAGGAGTGGTTTCAAGCCTGTACTGGAGCAGGAAGTTATTGACGCAATGTCAGTATCCATGTTGGTCCATAACAACCCAGGTCAAGCTGTCGAGGAAGCTCTTGCCGTCGAGTCAAAGAACACGTCTTATTTCGTACACAAAAATACCTTCCTCGTCGGGCTTGCTTTACTTATTCCATTGCACGATCCCAGTAACTACGTGATCTGGAAGAAAGATCGTCGCATGGCCTCCTATCATAACAATTCTGCGGTTGCCATAACCGCAGCCTCGACAGATATTCTGAGATCATATCTTAACAATGCGAAAGCGGATCCGTCTATTCTCAAGTCGCCAGAAGCATCGAAGCTCTTTGCAGTCGAGATCGGCAAGAGACTCTTCGATCTGTTGCTGAAACCGAATGAGGAGCCCAATACAAGCTGGCCACTGCTCGATCTCGGCCTTGACTCGTTGGTGGCTCTCGAATTGCGCGCTTGGATCAAGCAGGTCTTCGCTTTTGATCTTCCCATGCTCGAGATGATGAGTATTGGCTCTCTGGATATTCTTGGTCAATATGCAGCAAATGAGGTTTATAGAATCGCGACCGAAAACGAGAGCTAAGCGATTCCTCGTACAGATTGCACTCGGTAAGTGTATGTTGTGACATTCTGCTACTGGCTGCAATATCGGCTTCAGCCCTCTTCAGCGTAATCTCTACCTGTGCTCTACCAGAGAGTCACGCAGAGAATTGGTTAAAGTATTCAACGCATCTATTGGCACTTCCTCTACATTCTTTGTATCTCGCTCAGACTGTACATTTTTATTGTGAGAAATACCAAATATATAGTTGTTTTTGAGGGTCCTTCGTGCATGAAAATTTAGTAAGGGAGTGATCTTCTTTGCCCCTCTGGGACCAGAATTCGCATAATTGGATAGCACACAAAAGGCATGTCTTGCAAGCCACATGCCTCTCCTCCCGTAGCGTGTGATGCACCCAGGCTTCTATCGTTCCCAAAACACTCTTTGTAAGCAAGGGATCAAGTTGAATCGTATGACATTGGCCGATAGAAAGAACGGAAGATGCTGCAAATGCTGACTGCATCAGGCGGGCTATCGGAATCCGGGAGCCCGGAGGCATCAGTGGACGGGATCCGAGGCTGGCGAGTAAGATCTTCTCTGAAATAGCCCATATGATGTTCTGGAAGCTCCTATTCATAAATTCGTATGCAAGCGACTAGTATATCGAAGTCAAGTGCACAACCCCCATCGTCTCTACCATCAGTACATCCTTCCGAACCCTCCCCAAGAACTTGAAATGTGGCGAGTCCCAACAGATGTCCCACAGGTCGCCGTACCGAATGGACTCAAGCTCGCGGAAGTGACCGTCGATACACCGTTGGATGAAGTGTTCAAACACTGGAAGGAAAGCGGCGGCGTCATCCTGAAGAACATGCTCACCACCGCGGAGGCGAAGCAGATCACCACAGAACTCGAGTCCCGCATCGGCTCCGTCCAACGAGGCTCCCGAGTTCCCCATCCCGACCTGGCAGCCTTCCACGGCACCAAAACCAAGCGTGCAGGCGACCTCATCAACCACAGCGCCACGTTTCGAGAGCGGATTCTTGAAAATGACTTCATCCACGCCATCTGCAAGCGCTGCTTCAGCGAAGGTGGGCATAACGGAGACTACTGGCTCTCGGCGGCGACAACGCTCAATGCTTCCGGACCGCAGCCCGGGCAGGTCTTGCATCGCGATCTCACCTCCTATCCACCATACGCCCAGCTCGGCCCTGATTGCACCGAACCACAGATCAACTTCCTCTTCGCCTTCTCCGACTTCAGGGATGAGAATGGCGCCACGCGCATCATCCCTGGGAGCAACAAGTGGCCCTTTGACCAACGCGGAAACATGAACCAGACAATCCCAGCCGAGATGAACACGGGTGACTGTCTACTGATCGGAGGGAAAGTCATCCATGCGATGGGCGAGAACAAAACGGAGATGGAACGGAAATGTATCCAGCTGACGGTCATCCCGAGTTTCCTGACTCCGTCGGAAGCACATCCTTTCATAATCAAGCTGGAAACCGTGAAGAAGTTGTCCAAGCGTGCGCAGCGATTCGTCGGGTTTAGATCGCAGTACCCTCGAGGCTCGCCAGGCTTATGGACCAAGGATTATATCGAATTGGCATTGCACTTGGGTTTGGATGATCTTCAGGGGGCTATGGAGGACTTGCAGGATGTGATCAACCAGCCGAAACAATGGGATACAATTGATTATGACAATGTTTGACAGTTGTATATAAAGTTACTCCGTACAATCTATTTGAATAATATATTATATTGGACAGTTTGCAAACGCTGTTCCGATGCGTTTTCGGGACTATTCCTCGAAGCGCTGATTTCCGAGGTCCTGCGACTTGAGATCGATCTCATCCACAAACAGCGAAGTCACCAATCCCAGTCCACTTAGCCCTGTCATCGTGTAAAAGATTGTCTGGAAACACTTGAGATAAATCTTCAGAACCTGGTCCAGCGTTCCAGAAGGGACATCTAGTGATCTTAGCTTCTCAATGAAAGAAACCGCATTGGCGACGTCCTCGAGAGGGGCCAGGGGGCCGCTAGGTTGGATTGTAGAGGAGGATATGCCTGTCGCGAAGACAGAGTTGAAAATGGTGGAAGAGATCGTGAGGCCGACAAGGCCTCCAAACATGCGAATGGTGAGCAATTGTCCGATCGCTAGGCCTGTGTCGTCGACATTTTTGACGCTGGCTTGTATGGGAAGAAGATTGAGACGCAGCAAGGAAATACCCATTCCCCAGAGGATGGGAAGTCCAAGACGCATGGATGACGACGATCCTACGTCGAACAGGGCCAGCAAACCGGTTCCCAGGGTGAGTATGATCCATGCCAGCCTTAGAATCCATACATATCCACCAAACAATGGAACCAGCATCATGGAGACCGCTGCGACTACCACACTGATAATGACGGTGGGTAGTAGGGAGACCGCTGCTAAAATGGCCGTTTCGAGTTGTACGGCTTGGTACAGCAAGGGTAAGTATTGCAAAAGCGAGACCAGAACCGCGCCATGGAGGAAGCCTCCGGCTAACGTCATGTTTGCAGTCTTCGAGTGGAAGAGTCGATGGGGCACAATAGGGGCTTCGGGTTTCGCTTCGTAGAAAGCAAATATGACCAGTACCGCCACCCCTAAGAACATTGGGAGGAGGGTCTGCCAGGAAGCCCATGGAAATAAGGAGCCAGCCCAACTGAGGGGTAAAACGAAGATCGTGATGCCGATGACGACCAACATCATACCAATCCAATCGAGGCGGTTCAAATTCTTGGCCAGCGATTCATCAAGGGGAACTGGTCGTAGCTTGAGGAAGAAGAACACCAGCGGCGTACCGATCCCTAGAAACGGCAAATTGATCCATCCAATCCATCTCCAGCTCGCATAGGTCGCGAACAGTGCACCAACCGTGGGCCCCATGATATTGCCAATCGCCATGGGAATCGCCATCAAGCCCAGGTATTTTGCGCGTTCCTGCAGCGTCGTCATATCTGCGAGAATCACCTCTGCCAGCACGTCAATTCCACCACCACCGAACCCTTGAAGGACACGGCCGACGATAATGGTGTTCATATTCTGGGCCACGGCAAAGACGATTGATCCGATGAAGAACAACGCCATGCATACGTAGAGAGGCGGTTTCCGACCGAACGCGGTGGAGATACTAGCCCACACCGGCTGCATGACAAGACCACATAGGGTGTAGGACAAGTTCGCCCAGAAGGACTCTAAACTCTCGCCCTGGAGATCAGCAGCTATGGTCTACGGACGAGGTTAGTCTTGGCACGATTCAGGACCGGATGAGAAATGGTGGTATCACTCACCGGAAGGGCAATCCCGAGAGCCGTGGCATCCAGCTGGAACACAAACATGCTGGCAGCGAGGCCGATGAAAGCGAGTTTAAACGACAGTGACTTCTTTGGGGTCCGCTGGATATCATCGTTGCCATTTCTCTCCACAGGAATTTCCGTCCCACCTATCTTCGGCTCAGTCTCAGTCTCTACCTTTGCTTGCTTTTCAGATACGGGCGCCGTATCTGACTCTTGTTGAACTGCGGGTGTCGATGTCTCGGTGGTGGCCCCCGTTCTGTCGTCAAACTGGGCCAGGCCCATTCTTGGCATGATAAGTGTATCACTTCCAGGCCACGTCGGGCTTAGGGCTCAAGATCAGAGACACACTCGCAAAAGTCGAATTCAAATTGTGACACCTGCTGACAGGGGTAGTCAACATAGGAATATGCTGAAGGTGAGAAAAAAAAAAAAAAAAAAAAAAAAAAAAAAAAAAAGGAAAAAAAAAAAAAAAAAAAAAAAAAAAAAAAGTCTATGGGAATGTCAGCCGCCTAAAAAAGCTAGACTGGGCGTGACCTCCTTTGTTCTCAGCGTGCGGATGCCGGATCAGAAATTCTTCCGCATCGCGGTGGTTGACATGACTCAGCAGGATCCTTGAAGTCACGTGTCATGGGGATGAAAGGAAGAACAATGACGGGGTGAACGAGTTACTCTGGACAGAGAGAGATCAAACTCTTCTCTCCAGCATCGGTGGATGAATCATGAGCCTCATGTTTTAGGCGGTCCACACGGGTTCCGATCCCCGAAGGCTCGGCCCGGCCAGTGGGGCAACCTTACAAGTCTCTATGGAGCTTGAGTACGGAGATCATGAAACACACCACGGTCAACCACCAGAATCGTCTTCGTGATCGATCCAGAGGCTCCTTTCCAGGCAACAGCTTGTCATGGTCTCTTTTCGTTTAGGGAAGGGACCTGCCCCTCCGCCGACCGTATCGACCGATACGATCATTCCCTTCCATTACTGGGATGATGACCACCATACACGAGGCCTTTCCTTCGACGTTACTTTCCGCTTCGATGACATCTTGGACCCTGAGAAGCTTCGACGTGCCCTCTCTCGGCTGCTAGAATTAGGAGGCTGGCGGAAACTCGGTGCTCGAATCCGCCGGAATGCAGAAGCGGGACTAGAATATCATGTTCCACAATGTTACGACGAGAAGCGCCCTGGCTTCGCATACTCCACCGTCGCGTTTGACATGAAAGTGGTGGATCATCCTCAAGCATCGCATTTAGCCCAGCCTCACCACCTGGATGCCGCTGGTCGCCCGTCTGTACTGGGCACTACCTATACATCCATGCCCGAGTTCAGATCCTTTATCCGGACTCCCGCTTTTCCCGACCGCCTGGAAGGTTGGCTTTGTTCAGACAGCCCCCAGCTCGGGGTTCGCATTATCACATTCCAAGACGCCACCCTGGTTACCGTCTCGTTCCTCCATAGCTTGATGGACATGATGGGACTTGATGCTGTCTTGGACGCCTGGGCTGCGGTGCTGCGCGGACGAGAAGATGAAGTGAAGCCCTTTGTGGGATTTTCCGACGATCCATTGGCTGGCCTCTCCGAGTCGAAGTCGGAACCGCTGCAAAAATACGTGTTCACCGACACGCTGCTCGTCGGGTGGGCATGGTTCTGGTTTGCAGTGCGGTATGTTCTGACGGTGGAGCTGTTTTGGCAGCGCCGGGAGGAGGAACGGGTGATTTTCTTGCCGGCAAAACACCTGCACCAGATGCGAGATAAGGCGATGGGGGAGCTCGCAGCGCGCGATGACGGCGACAGCGGCAAACCCCTTTTCGTTAGCGAGGGAGACATTCTATTTGCCTGGTGGACGCGAGTCGTCCTCCGAGCCGAAAGACCTCGCCCCAGCCGCACGGTGAACATGCGCAACACATATTGCTGCCGGTCAATCTTAGCAGACCTTGGCCACATCCCATCCGCTACCTGTGCCTTGGTCACTAATGCCGTCTTCGCAACTTTGACATTCCTTTCCGTTCGCCAGATCCTCGAAAGTCCTCTAAGCTTCACCGCATCGGAAATCCGCCGGTCTCTTATACAGCAGCGGAACGTCAAACAACTCCAAGCACTGGACACTATCCAACGAAATACTCTGGACAATGCACATCACCCAGCCCTATTCGGAAATTCTAGTATGTATACGGTAATGATATCCAATTGGGTCAAAGCAAAACTGTTTGAAGTTGACTTTTCTGCTGCCGTCGAAAGAGAGGGACTGGCACTGGACAAGCGAAGCAATCAGCTGGGCAGACCATCTTGTATCCAAGGAACTGGGACCAAAGGCTATGCCACACGAAACACAGGCGTGGTGATTGGAAAGGACGCTGCTGGGAACTTTTGGTTGTTGTACAGTCTGCGGAAAGGAGTCTGGTCGGCTGTAGAGCAACAGCTCCTGTCCATGGCTGATGAAGATGCCACATTGTCATCGAAGAAATATATATAGGGGCTAGCATATTTGTTCATATCTTAGAGACACTGAAATGTCAATAAAAGTGTGACTTGGCAAAGCTGAAATTAGATCGTAGGGGATATGCCCCGTAGGAGATTGCTAGACCTCTCATCGTGAGCTGTGACTACCATCTTCTCTACACATCCTCTCCCACCTCCTCCTCACCACCGGCACAACAAACCACCCCATCACCACACTCAGCAACGAATCGACGATCCCAAGCCCCCTCTTGGGACTCAGCCCGATCATGTTCGTAAACAAAAGATACCCGGACAACGAATCCTCACAGATAATAAAATCCCCTTTATCTACTCGCGCAACTACCCCCCGTGCGACTTCCTCTGAGGAAGGAAATTTCTTCTCCAGCTCCGCAAAAGTGGCGACATTGGTTCCCTGGATCCGCTTTGTGAGGTTGGGCTTGGTGTCCTGTTCGAGGACGAACCCAGGGGAGATGAAGTCGGCCGGGAATGCGATGTGGATTGTGTACGTGGTATGCGAGGAGTTGTGGCGGAGGACTTCGAAGCGAAGGGTGTCTGCTAGGGCTCGGACAGCGCTTTTGGCGGCTTCGAGATGGACGATGTTAGCCAGAAGAGGACAACCAACTCGAATCAACAGATCAAGATCATCGGCTTACGCGTATAAGCAACGCTCCCCGGTAACCCCAAGAAGGCGGCCGCACTGTTGACAAAAACAATCTTCCTGGTCGTGTGCCCCGTGGTGATGTTTGAGAAATCGCTGCCAGCAGATTTCTTATCGTTCTCAACCCAAATATCCAACATGGCCTTGGCAGCATACGCAGTGGAATAATAATTATTCTTCATGCAAGAATCGAGCTGCGTGGCTTGGAGATCGATGAAAAACCCGTTCTCCGCATGGTTGCCCCCGGCGGAACAATACAGGAGATCCGCTATTCGGGGTTGGGACCTGAATGCTTCCGAAACCTATGAGTTGGTTACGGGGTGCACTTCATTTGCATGTTGCAAGTCTCTCTGAACGTTGGGATTTCTCGGAATTGGAGCAACATACCGCAGAGGCATCCGCCATATTCACGGCGACGGCATTGATCTCTTGCCGACTCGCATCCATACAATTCCCGACTATCTCATTCTTCGCATCTTCCAGAGGCCCTGGCCGTCGCGCGAATATTGTGACATGGGCACCTGAACCTGGGTTCAGTGAAATTCTAGGTTATCGGGCTGGAGGGTGCACACAAACCACGCGCAGCCAGTATGTTGGAAATCGCTTTTCCCAATCCACCGGAACCACCCGTTACAAAGGCAGTCTGCGAATATGTCAGCCAGGTTAGTATCTGCAGAATACGTACATACCTTGCCTAAAAGATCCTGATTTGGTTTCATCCTTTCTTTCCCCTCCGAACTCTTCTATATTTGGTGTAAGCAGGTGAGGGAAGATTCCGCTGGGGCGCAATGGCACATTCAAACACCGTCCGTCTCGCAAGGTGAGGATCAAAAGCCCCATTCTGCCGATCCGCCCCAGCTCCATGGGAGGTATGAATCTTCAGGCTAGCAACGCCAGAGACCGCGAGGAGCCAGTCGGAGCCATCGCCGGCCTAACCAAGTGGGCGCTGATGACGGGTCCCGTGCCCGAAACGAGGGAAGTTCCGCAATATTACGCCTAGCTCTCTAACATCTTCAAATAAGGCTTATTCGCTCTGCCGGGATGGTCGAGCGGATAACGCGTTATCCTACCTTGCAAGTACTGCAACAGTGGGTTGCAGATCCCACCGTTCGTGTACTCGGTCTGACAGCAACTGAGTTACATCCTCCCTCTCTCTCCTTCAAGGGGGTTTATTCGGTTCCACCTAGTCTCTCTCTCTCTCTCTCTCTCTCTCTCCCCAATATAGTCCAAACTTACCCCTCCGTTATCGTCTCAAACTACACAGTTAACCCCGCATATATGCAGTACGCAACCACCACAAGAACCCAAGCGACAAACATGTCATTTAGCGCCTCTTTTATTGGTTAGAATGTCAATACGAAGGTTACTGCGTTAGCGCAGTCAGGACATTGGATGCGACACTAGGCAAGGGGTAGTCAAACCTTGCTAGAGATTAGTTTTAGTACCTCCTTTCACCTCCCTCTGTTTCGATTGGGGGGCTGTGCTCGGAACCAAAGCCCTAATGATCGACGGAAGAGGAAAGTTGATGGGCTGGATTCAGCCGAACCTCGACCACAATATATTTATCCGGTGGTCCCACTAGACCAGTGGGTAATTTCTTCAACGCCTTCCATGTCCTTCATTTGGTTTCGACCAATTGTCACTGTTTTTATTCGGCTGCTATGGAAAAAGGAGAATAGATAAGAAATAGATTACCTTGATACTCCTGCAATCTAATATCTCAGTGCATGAATCCCAACCGTGCATCCAATGAAAGACGAGCAGCAAATCCCAAACGGGAAGGAGTATATACCATCCATGGATCGTATGGTCTTGGGTAACAGGCTGATGTGATTCTGACTTGAGTTGGGGACATCGAATCATCACTCTCCATTGGTGGGCCATGGTGGTTGCTGTGCATGGTTGGCCTTAGACCCTTATGATACTGTGTCGTTGGTGATGTTCAAGCGCATCCCCGCTACCAATGCACGTCAGCATGCCGAAAGGATGGGGACGGATGTAACGGCTGGCAAACGGAGCCTTACTCTATTCCTCCATTCCTCCATCTCCCCTATAAAGGCTTTTGCCCGCGATCATTGTAAGATGTTAAGCTGTGCAGTAGACTCGATCGTGACCGATCCTGAGGAGAATCAAAGATTGACGCAGCCTACGACGGTTTGCTGGCAAAACTGTGAACATGGCTAAGGAGGTTCCTAGGGACGAGTACACAGGTAAGTGCCCAGAGCCTCCCATCCACGGCTCCACAAGCAAGGAAAATAACCAATCCCTGTGAGCAGTATGTGACCAATGCCGGACCAGGAAGATACGCTGCAGTCGAGAAAGGCCTTCCTGCAGGAATTGTGACCGCCTGGGCTTGCAATGTGAGTGGTCTGGTCAAGGCAAAAAGTGCAACCAAACAACCCTTCTGTATGTACTGCGTCACGATTGTCCACATGAATGTTCCGAGCTCATTTTCCATAGAAGCCATACAATTTTGGGCATGGGTAGTCGCCTTCAACAGCTCGAGGTAAGCGAACCGCAGTCCCATTGACGTCTACAGTAGACGGGGCTCTCAATGACATGCGTTTCAAGGCTTCATTGGCAGACACTCAACGGTCCTTGAAGCGACTTTTCGAGGAGTCATCGACTGGTTCACCTTCCTCAAAACGCCCGGCCAGCCCACCGAGACCTACACCGCAATTGACTCCCCAGCGCTTCCCGGACACGTTGAAATCACCCGGATTCACGAGGCCGCTTGGTCGTTGCCTCTTGGACCAAAACAGCGACGAAAGATGGTTTGGCCCGACGTCTCTGGAATCGCTAATGCTCAAGATCAAGGATGAGCTCTTTGACAGCGCGGATATCGAAAGACACACCGTGAAGGAGTCCGTGCTGCAAGCACAACGCAAGATTGATCTTCTAGTCGGTCAGGGAGAGGAGATGCCCATCGGGGAAAAGTCACCGCCCACAACGCCTCCCTTTGCCATTCTGGACGCCATGATCGAGCCATACTTTACAACAACCAATGAACATTTTCCCATCTGGACAAAGAAAAGGTTCGCTCAAATGGCAACTACCTTGCGGCAATCAATACCGTCCGAACGGAACCTGGCTTCTATCGTCTGCTGCAACAGCCTCATCCTCATGGCCATGTCAGCGGACTCCCTAAGCTCCCACCAGCGGGACTCAATACAATCCAGCCACACGCGCAAGTCGTCGTCAATCGACTTTGACCTCATTGCGGGCTTTCTGACCAACGCAAAGCGCGCTATCAACCACATTGACCAACTTGTCTCGCCGCACCTCATCAATGTGCAGGCACTCTTATCGCTGGTACGTCTCCGACTAGTAGCCGCCTTGCCTGGTGGCATTGAATCGCTGACAACAACAAGCACATAGTCGCGCAAGTGTACCTCTCGACAGGCCTATCCGAGACGCTGTTTGCTCTAGCCACCCGATGTGCCAAGTCCATCGGCATTCACCAATGGGACACCTTTCACGGTCAACTGAGCGAGGAGGACATCAAAGAAAGACAAAACATTTCGTACTGCTTATACGTTCTGGATAAGGCTGTTTGCTGGACGGCTGGATCATCTCCCAGTATACCAGTCTCCGAGGTCCGTTTCGACCCCTGCCTGGTGCCTTCTGAAAACGATATCCCATCCTGCCTTGTTGCAAAGGCCGAGATGGCTAGGATAGAAGAGAGCGTCTACTTGGAGATATACGCTGTCCACGTGCAGGCGAGAAATGAGGACCAGGTCAAGGGATTTGCAGCAATGATTTTGTCAAGACTGCAAGACTGTCTGACCCAGTCGGGAGTTGACTTGGACCAGATCCAAAAATTCTCAGGAGGCTCCGCTTCGAATCTCCAGTTGGCAATCAAATACCTTTCTATTCAGCTGCTTCTCATTTGGCCCCACAAGCACCATCCCGATCCGATCTTCCAACGGGCTCTCGAGGTTGCTAGGATGTGTTTGAAACTCTTGTTACGGCTGTGGCATTCCCCGCCGGATCAAGGGAGCCAGGCTGTTTTCTCCTTGTGAGTACCGGTACCTTTCTAGCTGCCTTCTCTAGACGGCTAGGACTGACCATTCGGTTCCGATATAGCTTCCTCGCTTCACTTCCCTCACTCTATCTTTACGAAGTAATGTCATCCATCATCTGCGGCCGGGGGTCAAATTGTGACATCGATATGCTCCAAGAATTTGTTGAGATGCTCCAAACCATTACCGACTTCCGGGCAGAAGCCTCATACAATCGACGGCTGTACCAGCTGTCACTGATTGTCACCGACGTGATAAAGGCCAGGCAAGCCCAAAACAAACGGCAGAAGTCGACCTCAGAAGGACCAACAAATGCTTATTTGATGTCAGAGCTACTCTCGCCCCCAACAAGCGGTTACAACTACGTGAATTCAGAGATTCAAGAAACCTATGATTCACGTTTCCACGGTGCCGTTTTCCAAGACCCAGATAGTTCTTTTGCCTCGATGAGCCCAATCAACTCCACAAGCGGCGAGTTAGCTCAAGGCTCAGATGAGTTTTTGCCGCAATTGAGGAGCTACGCGAAGACGGCTCCCGGGAACGAAAGCTTCAATTCTTTGGCAATGGAAGCCTTGGGAGAGTCGGTTCATTTTTGGAAGGACGTTAATTAAGTACCAGGATCAATATGAAGTCTGTCCGCTGCGAGTTGGTGAGAGTTTGACTTGTATATCAAGACGAATGCTTTGCTGCCTAAAATGATATGTAGGCGCCGAAAACAGCTGGCAGCGAAAAAAAAAAAAGTATGAAACGACAACCAATGAAGTCTATTACCAGAGAGTAGTCGCGCACAATCGAATATTTTCCCATAGACCATCCGCCTAAAATGGGCCTCAGAGCTCTCTGCTCCCATGTTAGTCATACACTGATGTCAAGTAACCATCTGACAAGTCGACCGCGGAGACGGCGCCCGAGCCCCGGTAGCGTAAGGGGTTTCAAGGCTTGGTTGCCGTAGAAGTGACACTAGGGAAAGGTAACGCTGCGTGTAGGGTGCGGCAGCAAGGGTCAAGCGTAAACCAAAGCCGGCGGTCAGCGAGTTGACCCCGCTAGATAATTGAAGTAAGGGTAGCCTCTGCGAGAAAACGAAGCCGCAGTTCTTCTGTCACACCGTTACTTCGAGACCCAACGGTTATTATGGGGCGTATCAACGATTACTTTGGTGTCCTTTACCTCGGCATAGCCGTTGGCATCTACGTCAGGCCAGAATACGCCATCTTCGGCTCCCGAATCGCAACAATTGTCGTTCTACTTACGGGAATCACCATATCAAAGCTGGTCTATCAGCTATTTGTCTACCCTGAGTTTTTCACGCCATTCAAACACTTTCCCACTCCATCGGTAAGTCATCACATCCTCTGTTGCCAAAGTTAACTCCGACTTAACAGCATCTAGAATCGGCACTGGCTCACGGGCAATACGGGTAGTCTGCTCGTCGACACCCCCCATGCGCTGATGAAGGAGTGGGCCAAGACCATCCCCAACGATGGAATTATTCGTTACTACATTGTGGGAAACATGGAAAGGCTCACGATAACCAGCCCTGCTGTCCTAAGCGAACTTTTGGTGAGCAAGGGTTACGAGTTCGCAAAGCCCTTGGTGATACAGCAAACATTGAGGCGTGTGCTGGGCAATGGCATCCTCATTGCTGAAGGTGAGGAGCATAAGGTGAGAGCCACGCAATTTACATGCAATTTCGGATCTCACTTTTGTTTCGCATCTTACAATCATTCGTGCAGTTTCAACGTAAGAATCTTAAGCCCGCTTTTGCGTACCGCCATGTCAAGGATCTCTATCCTGTCTTCTGGTCTAAGGGCACGGAGATGGCGAGGTTGATTCGAAAGGATCTGCAGACCAGAAAGACCCCTGAAGATAATACAGTGCGAGTGGGAACCTGGGCCAGTCGATCCTCGCTAGACATCATTGGTTTGGCGGGCATGGGCAGGGATTTTGACTCCTTGCGCGACCCCGAAAACAGTCTTAGCCAATCTTACGAAATGATCTTCGCCACGCCAGGCTTGGGAACCAAGATTCTTTTTATACTTGGATTGCTACTGGGGAATACCACATGGCTAGCAAAGCTACCCACCAAGCACAATAACCTCATTAACACAGGCTGCCGCAATATCCGTGATGCCACGCTGCGGATGATTCGCGAGCAGAAGATCAAGATGGAAGATCCAAATGCAGAGGCCCAGGTCGACATTATTTCCGTCGCACTGCGAAGTGGCAAATTTGATGATGAGAGTCTCGTCGACCAGTTGATGACCTTCCTAGGTGCCGGCCACGAGACGACCGCCGGGGCTCTCCAATGGGCTATATATGCGCTTTGCAAGCACCCAGATGTCCAGGCCCGCCTGCGCGACGAAGTCCGCGCCAACCTGCCGCCAATTGACGTTGAACACCCCGGCCTAATCGACGCTGCCACCATTGATAGCCTCCCATATTTGAATGCTGTCTGCAATGAAGTCATTCGCTTTCACCCGTCTGTGCCAAACACCGTCCGTGTGGCACTACAGGACACCACCCTGATGGGGAAACCTATTCCTAAGGGTACGCAAGTCGTTATTTCGCCGGAACTTGTTAACCATATGCCGTCGCTGTGGGGGGCGGACGCGGAGCAATTTAACCCAGATCGATGGATGGGGCCCGGTAAGGCCAACACTGGTGGCGCATCCAGCAACTATGCGTTCCTGAGCTTCCTTCATGGTCCGCGCAGTTGTATTGGGCAGGGATTCGCCAAAGCGGAACTAGCATGTCTCCTAGCTACGGTGGTTGGTAGCTTTGAGTTCGAATTGAAGTACCCCGACGCTCCCCTGGAGGTGCGAGAGGGAGCGACTATTGCACCGAAGGACGGCGTCCTGGCCAAATTTACTCCATTGAAAGGATGGTGAAATGAATGAGGGATCCTTCTGCATTCTTCTACTTCCCTCTAGGTTTCCTTTGGCGATTAGACTTTAATGGGTTGGCGCAAGTCATGTGCATTTTTGACTATGCACGTCTAGGAGTATATTGAGATATACAACACTTACCCAATTGTTCGTCATAGGAAGAGTAACACATCACCTATCGGTGTAGGCAAGAAGAACACGACCGAGCAGTAGGGCCGGAATGAAGGCAGGGGTATGGCGAATGCGGCCGCGGGTCTAATGCAAAGGGGAGCGGGATCCGGCGCCCCGCCACGGAACACGAGCCTCAAGTCTTTGCCTCGTAATCTTTAATGTCATCGTCTAAGTGTATCGGTTTCCTGAAAGGGCTTAGATGGGGGGGTGTAAGATTTATAGATTGGCGATCTCCAACACGCCCCGCTCGGGGGCTGTTGACATCACTGGAATTTAAAACGGTGGTAATTCTATGACCGGATCCTTGCAGAAAGATAACCAAAGACCCTATCTACACCACACTCTCCAAATTCTTTGGGTTCGAGCTTTATGCATCATGACGCGTGAATTGATCTTCATCACCGGTGCAACAGGCTTCATTGGCAGTGTCACCGCCATCGCAGCACTCAAAGCAGGATACCATTTGCGGATCTGTCTTCGAAAGCCCTCCGACAGGCTACAGGCTCTGCTGTCGGGATATAGCGAACAAGTGGCATTCGTTACGGTTCCTGATTTGACAGAGCCAGCAGCATTCAAAGGAGAGCTGGACGGAGCTGACTATGTCATCCATCTTGCACATCCTCTCCCCAGTGGAACAGATAAGGAGTACTATTTCACCCCAGCTGTGAAAACAACGACCGCCTTGCTCAAAGAGGCTGCTCGAGTGCCCAGCATCAAGAAAGTTGTGATAACCTCATCGATTGCAGCCCTGATGCCACTTGACGGAATACCGCCCGGTAGCGTCGTTAAAGGTGAGCCTTTTTTGGAGTTCCCGGGCTACCTATATCGTGCCTAGTCTGACATCATCCCAGAGGACAATGACTGGGACTTTGATATAGATGAAATGGAAGACTTCAAAGCCTCCAATGACCCACGAGGAATACCCATGCGGCTGTACCATGCATCTAAATTGCTTGCCAACAGAACCGCATGTGAGTTCCGCAAAATCGAAAAGCCGCACTATGCCTTGGTAACGCTCCATCCTGTGTTTGTGTATGGACCAAACCCCCTACAGACAGCTGCCGAGGAGATTGAGGAATCCTCAAACGGACTTCTCTGGTATGCTATAATGACAGGCACCCCTCATCATTCTTATTCCCAGGTTCCCGGTGTGCATATTGACGATGTCGTCGATGCACACCTCAAGGCCCTGGATCCAGCCATCCCGGACGGGTCGAGGTATCTGCTTTCGGGGAAGGGCACGACCTGGAAAGAAGTAGCGGATATCATTCAGCAGAACTATCCAAGCCTTGGGGCACAGATCACCCCACACATTGAGGAAGAGTTCCTCTCAACGGACAGTAGCAAAGCAGAAACAGAGTTGGGGATTGAATGGCGCTCTTGGGGCCAGATGGTGCGGGATGTGGTGGACCAACAACTATCATTTGTGAAAGGCTGAGAACTTGGAAATTATCTATCATGAGAGGGCAGGACTTCAGCCGGTTTCTAAAACCTCCCTGAACTGATACGGGATGAGTTGGGGGGAATCGAGTCACACTTTTGTACCAATAAGTGCAGGCAAAAGTTGGCTTTCTACTGGGTCCACCATGAAGTAACCGTACACCAGAAAGATTTGTCTTCGTTTACTTACTCTGCAACCCATTTGCCCGGGTAGAATAGAATCGATCATTTCATCAACGTAGTGCCGTATTAAACCTGTAACCAATGCTACCACGTCCTCATCACGAGAGGTGTTCACCGACGGAAGATCTCACACGAGGAACGGATTTGTTCAATGTGCTCACAGTCTTTTAAGAATGTGGAGTACCTGGCCTGGCATTTATGACTATACACCTAAGAGAGGCCGTTGACCAGCGAGGTGTGTGGCAAGGTCTGCGTCAGACAGTACGCCTGACCTATGTATGGGGGTTAGGATGAATGACCGAGCGCAGTTAATTAGTACTCAATATGGACTTTATATTACAGTATTCGAGATTGCAACACGTTAAATACTTAGTGGAATATATAAACAGATAAGCATAATGGTATTACAGTGGGAGGTACCACCGCCGATAGCGCTAATGAGCACCAGAGTCCGTTGATGGAGCCACCTGACGTGCAATAGCCCTTGGCTTCTAATATCGGACAGACAGGGGGATTTTGACCGAGAGTTGTGGTTAACGGGAATGGGATTCTGACCTCGATACGCTGAATCAGTTAATATTTGAATCGACGCAGATGCACCTGGGCCAATATTTCAGTCTGGCCCCTCTCTTTCCGAGTTCTTTGCAAGTGATCATCTCCACGCTGAAAGGCATTAGAGTGATGAACCCTGGTACAGTAACTTAATCTATTCTTATACACAGTAGTAAGACCCCTACAGATCCGAGAATGGTTGAAATGCTCTACGCCTCGGTCATAATTCTTGTAGCGCCTCCAGATGATATATAGATCCCGAGTACCGGAGTGCATGTATGGATATATATTTTGACCTGAGTGAGAGAAAAGGTACTAAGGCTCAACCAACATACTCCCATTACTGAATATGGTTGGAAATCCGGTATAATAGAGAAAAGAAGTGTATTGGCTGCTAGAAGACGGAGCCAAAGTCGAATAATAGATATATCAAAGTGACATCGCTATGCAAATGAAAACAAAACACAAGCAATCTTATCAGCCGTCAAACCCAGCCCTCCTCATGATTACATAAAAAGCACAATCTCTCCCCGGTCATTTCTCTTGATGCGCAGTGTACGCCAAAGGTCTTTCTCGTCTTCACCTCTCTGCTCGTGGTCAGCACGGCTGCGCCCTTGCTCACGACCTCGGTCGTCATCAAATTCGTCGGTGAAGTCACGATGGAAGCGCTTCAAGACCTTGTTCACAGAGAATCCTCGCTGGCTTTCGGGACCCTTGGTCACCAATGACAAGAAGTGAGAAGCCATCTGTCGCTGTAGGTCACTAGGAATGTTCGGCTGCCCATAGACCACGACCTGGCGGCCGTCATCCCCGCGTGGGGACTCGGTGCGGGAACCGTTGACATATTCGATCTGCTTGAGACGCTGAGACGGCCGACCATCCATCTGGGCGCTACTCTTGCGCTTAGACTTGTGCGAATCAGATGCCACACGGTTCGACTTCCTGGGTCGTATATCACCATCATCTGATGAGCCACGCTTGCTTTCCGCAGGGCCTCCAAACATGGAAGATACAAGGCGCTCAGCACGGTTCTTCATCGAGATGCCCAAGCCGGCATCAGAGCCATCCTTGTCATCACGACGAGTACGCTTGATGGGAGATGAAGGGTCCTGGTAACGCCGGCGAGGATGATCGGCGTGATCATTCTCAGATTCCAAGGACGGGGATCGAAGCATCCGACTCAAACCACCTGTTAACCCGGAGTGATTTAGCATGGGCGTGCCTGGGTGGTTCACAACGCTAGATGGTGCTTCCATCATAGGGGTATCGGCGTCTTCAAGTTCCTGGTCTTCATTGTGGCGCTTTCGCTTCTTCTCACTGGTGACGGCGCCCGTCTCAGTCTTGCGTGAACGATCCTTCTTCTTTTTCGGCGCCGGGGTCATAAATTCCATGGAAGCGTTCGCGGCTTTACTTGGGTATGCCGATGGTGGAATAGGACCGGAGCCGTAAGAATACCCATTTTCCTCGTATGGCAGATCATACTGCTTATCCTCATCCGCGCCGCCGGGTTCGTAGTGGGCCAGCGCCTTACTGGCTTCAAAAACAGAAGGGGCGTGATCAACCATTTGCATCTGTTCCTTGGGCTGATTGAGTGAGACTTTAGATGCGTTCGGCGTCTTCTCAGCAACTAGGAAGTCGAATACATTGACCTGTTTAGAATCGTCTCTCTGAGGAGTCCCCGACGTGACGGGAGGAGTAGGGGCGGTGGGTAGCGCGGATATGTTCTCCTTCGACTTGTCGGACTCAGGAGCGTCCTCGACGTATGGTGCTCGGTGACCATTAGTAGTAGGCTTCGCGTTCTGCTTTGGATCGTTCTTGCCTTTTTGGTTCCTTTGGTTCTTCGCTTGTTTCGGCTTATATAGAGCGCCCTCATACTTCTGAGCCTCGGTCATGCATGACTTAAGTCAAGTTAGCATCGACCAATCAATGATAGTACGTTGTTTAATAAGTAGTGGTTATCAAGAAGCCCCTCGCCGTTGACGCCTACCCGATACCCCTGCGACAAGCTGTAAAGCAAAGATGCTATGTGATCGCACTGAGAACCAGTAGTGCGCTCAAGACGGCGAGGGCGATCGAGTAGCATCGGACTGATAGGTAGGGCACTTTAGGAAAAGAAAATCATATCCATACCGTATGTGATCTATAGCTGGTGCCCTGGAAATGGACCATACAGTCAATGCAGGTGAAGGATGCGCCGCGACATTGGTTGCGATGAGGATCGAGCTTCTTCTTGGTGAGAATATCACCGCAAGCCTAAAGTTAAGAGGGAAAGGTTAGCAAACACCGTCCATTTAAGGTTCGTCCATAACATCTGGACATCCGAGAACGAATAAATGTCTTGTCCAACTCACCTCGCATGAGAACGACACCATTTTGAGCCCCGCTATATAATCCACTTATAAGATGGCAGCACAGTTACTGGTGGGTACTATAACCCAAGCAACAAAGTAAAAGTGGAATAAAGAAAAATACTTGGCAAGCACGCTGTCTAGCGCTGCGAAATACCAGGCACAAGAATCAGTTACGCGATCAGCTATTTGCGACTGATAAAGATTGTCGCGCAGCGTGGCAGGATGAGCCGAAAGCAAAAATGACTGCCAACCCTTTCGTTGTCGGGAGTAACAACACGAAGAATGCAAGCTATTTCCAATAGGAACAAAGGGTATAAAGATCGCACAGCGCGATTATCAAAGGCAAGGCGCTTGAAAAGTTGGACACTCTGCTGCGTTTCTTTCTGTTGATCTTTGACTGCGTTTGTCTTTATCTTTTCTGGCGCGCGCATTTAAAAAAAAAAAAAAAAAAAGCGGAAAGGTTCCAAACACTGAGTGGCGCTAATACTATTTTAGTAATATAGATAGGCACCTATCTGTGTTGCCTTGAAAACCAGGCAAACATCCCCACAAGAGGACAACAGCGATTTCAATACTTAGTAGAAGCTTATGGAAAGGAACAAAGAAGATAAAAGTTTCAGGAGATTGAAAACAACTGCGGCGTATATACACCACAAAACTCTAGGGGGCTATTTGTACATTCGCTTCTGTGCAGTGCTTCGGATTGGTCTGAGCACGATCCCAAGATTAGATACATATATTGCGGTCAGGGAGAGCCAGGATCCCCACGCACCATGATATGATGATCTGTTGATCGCGGCTTCAAAGGGGTGTGTGTGGCGCCTGTACATCCAGCAATCAGCGTGAACTTGTCAGGAGACTCGCTCTGATTCCAATATGGAGGCGGGCGAGCCATTCAGCGCCCACCGTCGCCTTTCAGCTTGCCAGTTAGCGTAGCGCTTATGGAGGGGCTATGCAGTTCGACAGAGAATAAGGCTTCGGGCACGGATTCTCGAGGCCATGTCGATAATAATAACAAGAAAGCTGTTTCGTATGGTCGGGGCCCATCCATCTCTGACAAGACGACGACTGGCCTAGTCGAATTAACTTTATCTACTGGCTCTAGGTCCCGCGCCTTGTATCCCATGAGATCGAGAATACCGACAACGCCTATAATTACGATGGGAGGCCAATGTTTCGCTTTTCCTGGGGATAGTTTCATGATCTCGTATACGGCAGAACCCCGCACTTTGACCATTCCAGGCGCCAAACTGTGCTGTAGTCCGTCGTACTGTCATAGACGCGAACGGAAGGGGTCATTGAGAAGATAGACCCATGTTCCCATAAATGTACAATAGTGTGGTAGTATGAACCAAAAAGAAGCTTTCGGCAAAGAATAGTGGCCCATCCGGTTGAAGGCTACACTAGAGCTGCAGTTGCGCGCATGACTGCATCGGAGTACTACCTGTGACTGGTGCGGCTGACCAACAATTGGACAGTGCGTCTGATCGCTGGGATGTTACGCAGTGATGTAGAAGGTCCTTCTACAATCAAGCATCCGCTGTGTTGACAAGCACCACCTGAGCTCCCCTCAGCAAGGCACTCGAGTACATCTTTTGGATTCAATCCACTCTCCGGACGGTATATATGTACTGAGTATTATCTGGCTCCAGTATACTCCCAACGAACCCGCGCAGGTAAAGTATGATCGAAGTAGTTTACAACATAGTATCTAGAAATTAGTTTCGAGACTAAAATCTCGAGAAACACTGCATAAGACTCAGCCCTGTGTAGTTCTGAATCTGTTGTCAGTCTAACATTATAGAGAGGTGTGGGGCGGAGTAAGGGGGAAAACCCACGGTTCCTTGGAGATCTCAAAGCGCTGACTATTCGCAATATCGTCGCTTTCTTTGGAGTCAGTATGGCTTCTACTCTTGAGCTCCTCGTTCTCGTCTTCGGTTTCTTCGTCCTTGGCGCAGCCGCAGTCGTAGAAGTCGCCGATCTTATTGCAGTCAAAAATAGGTTTTTTGAGCATGGTATTGACCTCGTTGTGGATAAAGCAACCCCATCCCGATGCAGCGTTGCGTGACGACACTTGCGGAGGATACTTCTTCAAGTGACCTTGGAAATGAGAGGCGCATTCGCCACTGATTTACGGTTAGTGTCATCAGATATGCAATCTGACGCGGAAGGTATATACCATGGATATAATCGCGCAAATAAATAAATGAATGAGCGCAAAGTTTCTTGTTGCTCCTCCGTCGGATCTTCTGGATATCGTGCCAGCATAGTATGGAAATACTTCCACGTAGCGCGCCCTAATTCCGCCCTAGCATTTCCCCATGCAATCAGTATAGGTTCAGATCCCACCAGACCAAAGTGTGTGTGACATACTTAGCCGTCTCATTGCCCAGCTTCGGCATCACCACCTCGCCTTTTACCATATCATCCTTTGTCAATGTTGAATGAGACTGTTTCTCCAGGTGACCAGGGGCTCGGATCGCGGGGCTCGGTGGGCCTTGAGGCCGGACGAAGAAGACAAAGAGAAGGAAGATTGAGACCGTAGTGCCAAGTAGTATTCGCCTTGTGATATGGCGGTTCGCCATGTTTGAAACGAGGAGCTTGATGTGAGGTAGCAACCGTCAATCGGGGGTATGGGCCAATGGATTGGAATTCCAACGGAGGTTGAGATAGTATTTCTCGAGTCAGGCTTGGTCTTAGTTCAAATGATCGGAGCTAGATTCGGATAAATGAAATTAACATTAAGGAGAGACTTGGGCAAAAAAAGTTGGCCAGAGAATTGTGGTTTTACTCCGATCTCCCTGCATGAGAGTATCCTTTGTTCCGAAGATCAGTCCACGTGTAGATAACACACACTGTTTCACTTGTATTGCTTAGTCATAAAGCCCTCAATGCAGGAATCAATATCTATTCCAGGTATTGTGCAGGAGTTATTCACATTTAAGAACTGTGTCATCATGTGGACATTGAAAACCATGCCGATAGAAGTTGCATTGAGCATATAGATAATGTATGCCAAGCAGCCAGTAGGAATGTAAATGTGGAGATCTATTTGATGGCGTATCTTCAGCGCCACACTGATACTACTGATAAACAGTCACAACTACAATAGATGCAGCTTTCCACCACCAACAAGTCGGTATATGAGCTGAAGCAGAAATTAACAAGGGGACTCTTCTCAGCTTGGAACCATGGCTGACTAGCAGGAAAGGAAGATGTATGGACAGACGCAGGCACACGAGTTGACAATGATACTACGATAGTGGCAGAACGAAGGCCAATTCCCATTCAGGGTAATCCCTTTCCTCGTCATTGATAACGATAGGCTTGGAAATTATTGTATTATACCTACGTAGTTATGATCACCTTCTAGGAATCTCCAGAGCACAATGCCATATCTGAGTGATCGTCGTTGCCATTACCGTAAACGAGGCTAAGATAGGCAATTGCGCTTAGATAATCCTTTTGTATCTAACTTCTAGTTAACTAATTGTTCCGCAGCTTTTCCAATATCTGTTCACGGTTGTCCCAAAGCATACTTGCAGACTGGAAAATGGTATTTCTGAGGCCTTCTACTTTTCAATCTTTGATCCGTAATACTAGGACGCCTTTCCTACGGGTCCAACAAAGACGATGGGCGCAGGTGCACGATGTCCGCTTCCTCGCCACGCATCATGATCCAAAGTTTGTGTTGGACAGGTACCGAAACAAGTTGGATCAGAAAGCTCAGCAGTCAGTATTTCACGGGATAATTCAGTTTTACAATTTGCTTCTGAATTGTGTTGCTAACTAACATGCTCTAATAGAGAAGGACACGAGTCCGTCGACTCACTGAAAGACGCCTACAAAGAGAAGATCGATGACTTCCGTCGCAAAGCGTCCACCATTGTCACCCCAGAACCCTCCAAACCTACTCCCTCTCCATCGACATCCGCGGTTCATCCTCCTCCCCCGCCACCTTCTCCCCAAGCCAAAGTCGCATCTGAAGGCTCCGGCAAATCCTCCACAGGCATCAAGCCTCTCAGCTCCTACATTGATGTCGAGAAAGTCCTCGATCTCCCACCAAAGGAAATCGAAGCTATCTGGCGTCTTCGCCATGCCAGCAACCCCCACTCCGTCTGCGCCGTTATCCCGGTAGAAACATACCAGCGCATTTCCTCGGCCGCTCGCCAAAACCCCCAATTCGTCCTCCCCCTGCCCCGCACGCAAGCCGAGACCGAACAATCGGAGCAGCAGGGAGATGACGCTGCCAATGCCGGCGCAGAGATCCACTTCCTTCAGTGGGCATTCCATCCGGCCGCCCCGACAGTCACTTCTGGACCTTTGGCTAGCTCTCATACCTCCACTATCATCTTCACCCAACTCGCCGCGTACCAGTTGCATGGCTCCTATGCCCAACCACACACGACTATTACGCACCACCTCGACCTAGCCGATGAGAAGGGTCTGGTTCTCATGCATGGCCAGATCATGCCAGACTCGGGCATTTCCTCCACTGACGCGACCTGGTTAGTTAGCTGTGTTCAGCGCTTCTATGATTTCGGTGGCCAGGCCAGTGGGCGCAAGGGTGAGCTGCTGCGCTCGTTCACCAAGGGAGATACCAATATCTTCAAGATCGAGGCGTTGTTGGAGGAGGCGGAGAAGTTGTAGACTATGTTAATCTTTTGATTCTAGCGTTGTATTACTTTAACCTTTTCAAAATTTCTCCTGTTTTTTGGGATAGACCTAGAATACAGCAATACTATGTACGATAGATGGCGTCGCTCATGATACTCATTATAGTCATCCCCACTGAGCCTTTGGCCAAGGGTTGGGGCTTCCTCTGTTCCTTGCCGCATGGAATTTTGTAAAACATGCCGGACATATGTTTGAGCAATAGGGGCTCTATACTGGAGTGAGCTGTTCCGCACCGGGTTGTCGGGCGGCTGCCTGAAGGCAAAGGAAGAAAGAGGAAAGAGCGCCGAGGCTCAAATTCAGGTCCATGATGAAATAGTCTGTTCATCAATCAGAGAAATAGGGTCTAGAAACATTGTATATTGAAAAATTAGAAAGCTGGGCGTTCTTGAGACCATCAACGGGGCCTTGTGATTGTGAGATAGTCAGAAAGTCAACCTCCTAACCCAACCGCCCTAAAACCAAAGCTGATAGGATATAACGCCCGTATAGAACCCAGGGACAAAACAACATCGTAAGCGCATAAATTTGGCGGAACATAACCTGTATGAATACAACACGCCAATGCCTAAGGCATCACGTACCTAACCGCGAAATAGAAGCAGAGCTGGGATATGAACAAGGCCTGGCATAGGCGAGCCAGGAAAGGGTTCGGCAAGACAAAAGAATTAATCGTTAATCTATGGCGGCAACAAGGGCAGCAGTGTCTGCAGTCACCTTTGAATCGT